ATAAGAAAGGAAATACTAGCGAATGTAGAAATTACAGACCCTATTTGTCTTTCACAGGTTGTATATAAGATATATACGTCAATACTGGAGAAGAAACTTAGAGCAATGGTGGAGGAACATTTAGAAGAGGAGCAAGCTGCTTTCAGGCCTCACCGTCAAACCCAAGACCACATATATTCTTTAAGAACAATAATCGATAAGGCTTGGGAACGGAACAGAAATGTATTCCTCACATTCTTAGACATAAAGGCTGCATTCGATTCCGTCCCTAGACAAGAACTATGGAAGGCCCTGATGGACAAAAATATCCCAAGACGTTTGATAGATGCTATACAGTCCACATATCAGGACTCAAAGGGCATAGTTAGAATAAATGGATAAAGTCCGATATCTTTGCCATGAGTAAAGGTGTTAAGCAAGGAGACAGCTTGAGCCTCCTTCTGTTCATTATATATATGGACGAAATCTTAAAGATTTGTAAACGACGAACAGCTCAAACAGTTGTAGGAAAATGGAAAATGAGGACGATATTGACGCAAGTAATGGTCTTTGCAGATGACATCGTTCTCATATCAGACTCAAAGAAAAATCTACAGCAAGCGGTGATCGAATGGGAGGCTGAATTAGCAAGAAAGAGTATGGTAATTAATGTCCGAAAGAGCAAAGTAATGCAGATTGGACAGGATCAGGAGCTGGTTGAAATTTATTGTAAAGGAGAGGTACTCGAAATGGTGGAGGACTTTACATATCTAGGTGCAGTAATAAACAAGAACAGAAGGGTTGACCATGAAATTTCCAACAGGATTAAACGGCCAATGATGTGTATTACAGCTTATGCAATACAGTCATTGGGAAAAGGGAGGTAGAGAGGAATGTAAAAATGCATATTTTTAAAGCGGTATATCTACCAACCTTTACATATGGGAGTGAAAGTTGGGTTCCATTAACCAAACACCTTAGCAGAGTTACTGCTTGTGAAATGAAATATCTTCGAAGGGTAGCCGGCAGAACCAGGAGAGACCGGATCAGGAATGGAAAAACAAGAGACGAACAAGGCACTGTCTCACTAAAGAATTCAATAGAAAAGAGGCAGCTGAGATGGTTCAGGCATGTATGCCGAATGAATGAAGACCGGGATCCACGAAAATTCATGGAGGCAAGACCTGTAGGAAAGCGCCCAAGAGAAAGACCCAGATTGTTGTGGATGGAGTGTATCTCCCAGATCAGGCAGAAAAGTGGTATGAGGATAGGAGATATGAGGGCTCTAGCTCTGGACCAAAATGCTTGGGATGCATGGATCGAGGCACCTCCACACTGAAAGGCACAAAGGGGTTAGAGAAAGAAGAAGAGAAGAAGAAGAGTTTTAATTTTAAAAATCAACCCATGCTTATTTTATTTTCATTTAAATAATGTTTTTGTTTTTTTTATTTCGTTTTTTCTCAAAAGTTTTATTTTATTTTTACTTGTTTTAATTTAATTTCACTGAAGATACTGTATATATTCTTTAATATTGATTAATGTAATTTTTGGCCAGATGTAGCTTTTATTTTTTTGTTCATATCTGTTATTCATAAGGGGCCTTGTCCCAGAATAAAGTTTACTTTCTATCTATCTATCTATCTATCTATCTCTTGAGATTCCGAAAACAAAACGTATTGCGCAGTTCATCAGGTGTTTAAGCTTGGCCTCGAATTCGCCCGAGAGTCCTCTGTATACCAGACAGCCATAGTCGAAGTGAACACAAGAGAGGAAACCAGGAGTTGTCGGGATTTATAGGGAAGGAGATAGCGGAGACGGCTAAACTGTTTCAGGGTAGAGATAGTACGATGGGAAATTTAGGAGATGTGTGGTTTTTAGGAGAGAGTTTGATCAAAGGTAACACCAAGATTTTTTATGAAAGTATGGAATGAGATTGGTGAGTTGTTCAGGAAAAAATTGGGAAGTGTCAGTAAGGATTTGAGGAGTGAGGGAGCTGCGATCAGAATGGCTTTCGTTTTCTCGGAGTTTAGAGTGACTCTATTGTGGTTTGCCCAGGCACAAATTCCGTCTATACCTTTTTGTAATTTTTGGATGGCGTCAGATAATTCGGTCGGATTGAAGGAGAGGTAAATCTGGATGTCGTCGGCATACAGATGGTAGTGACATTGTAGGATATAGGATGGAAGGTCATTGATGTAGATGGAAAAAAAGGGCGGGAGATAAGGAGGAGCCTTGTAGGACACCTCTGGACTTGTATGTATAATAGTTCGGTAAGGTGTTGAGAAAGAAAGTTTAGTAAAATTAAGTTTATTAAAATGAGATAGTGTTACACTCATGGCATTCCGAAAATTCCAAGAGACCACTAATAGAAACTAGACAGAAACAGATAACAAAAAAATTATCTCAATTTGCTCACCGTTGCAGTGATTGCTAGTATTCCATCGGAGATAAACTCTACTGTAATATCATCTTCATCTATATCTATCTGTCTTTTCATGATGACTTACTTGTACCACAATAAATCCATTATCAATGCTTACTTTCAAATCTACAAGATTGTACTCTTGAACACTGAATTTACCTATTATTATTTGTCTAGAACTAGCAATAGGGTATGTGGGAACAATACAAGGGTTATTTTGGCTCAAAGACATCATCTGCTTGTAGCGAATCAGGGGTGATTCCAGATATTGAAAAGGGTCCTTCATAGTGAGCCATTTATTAGACAGATCTTGATTATAAGTTGATAGCATGGAGTCATCGACACGCCCAACCACCTGTGTTATGAAAATCTAATTAAATATAAAACTGCATAACTTCTTAAAAAATAAGAATTAATTATTTTGTATTATTAGGTCTATATTGATGGCATAGCTATATAACATTGTATGTATAGAAAAACAAATTATACTTGAGGTAACAAAACCCTTTTGTTACTAGAGAAAAGTAAAAATTTTGATTATTTTTTCCTCATTTTTTCAGGAGAGGAGGGAGGGAGCAAGAATATCATTTTAACTCCCCTCCCATTAAAAATGTTGAGAGGGCAAGAATATCATTTCGCCCATTATAATTTTAAGTAAAAAATTGACAATTAAGATACATGTATAAATAAAATATGTAAACTATAAGGTGCATAACTATTTTATCATGGTCTAAATATTCCTGTTATTTAAATTTTCATTTATATTCAGGGATAATTATATTGAAACATATCCTAGGATTTAATGATCCATTCACCTCTCGTGTGTTTAAGTATAAATATATTTTTTACAGAATATTTGTATAGACATTTTTACATAACTTGCTAGACTGAAAACATTGTATTTTTAATTTAAAGTTGTAAAAATTAAAAAATCAAATATGTTTTTCATGTTATTCATTTTAGCTGGAAAAGTGAAAGAAATGTAACTATTATGAAGGCTCTGTCCCCCTTCCTACCATGTTTAATTTAAAAAGATTGCAATAAATCGAATTGCATTGTTCAGATATTTTCAAGTATATCCATATGCACATAACAAAGTTCTACAACTTCCGAACAAATATATAAATTTATTTTTAAATATTCAATATAATATTTGCTCGTTTTGTAATAATTATGTTAAATTATTACACATGATAAGAACTACTACCTTTTTTTTCCGCCCCAAAATCAAAATGAATGCCTATGCGCCTATACCTGATAAATGTGAATAAACATAACGCCATACATTTAAAGTAAGTGAGTGAGCATTAGTTACTTTCAACACTTAGTATTTCCACGAATTGGACTTTCAAAGTTTTATAAATTTTAGAAAAAAAAAATTGCATAGATTATATTCATTGAGGCTATTAAATCTATCAATAATCAATAAATTAATTTTATGAGTACCCCTCTGAGTGGTAATGATGCACCCAACCTGAGTGGTTATTAATTAGTCCCAAACAGAGAATGTATTCTAGTGTCTTTTAATATGTAAAAAAGAATGAAATACAAGAGAATATGATACTATTTGGCAAAGAGGTATTGCAATTTGTAATTGAATATTGAGGATGACTAATTGGCGAATTATTGAGACAAATATTGATTAAATGTAAGTAAGTTGGTGCTCGAATACTTCACCAAGTTTCAATGTTTGTAGACAGGAACAACTTGTGTTTTTATGCAGATATATATAATTTTCCGTCCTTTAAGACGGATATAGTTATTTGCGTAGTCGTTTAATTTTTAAATTATAATTTTTTTTACTAATAAATAAAATAGCCACTAAAAAAACACTCAATATTTGCTAAAAAGATATAATTTATTATTTACTCTTGGTTTAAGGATTTACTTAAGTTTGTGGATAGGCCCATAGTTGATGGAATCGGATTCATATGGAAGATGTGTTTATATTCCAAACAAATACAAAAAATAACTAAAAATTCATATTATGATTTAATATACTAAAAAAAAAAAAATCAAAAATAACATACTTATTTAAAAGGATATTAACCGTTAATAGCTACCCTAAAGCAACCTCAACATGCAGAAGAGAAAAGAAGGTGTGGTATCTTGCAGGACATTGCGTCATCCATCGCCACATAGAGAGTTTAATAAGTTTTTAATTTGATAATTTTAATTATTCTAAAATATTAGTTATATTTTGCAATAAACGTTTAACTGTTAAAACGAATGAGTCAAAAAAAAAAAAGAAGAAAAAGTTTGTCTTTTTATATCGTTCATATATTCCGCTTAAATGACGAAATAACTCCGGAGATTTCTGAGAAAAAATGTTAGTTTTTTTTTCTGATGATGGTTTCAAGACTGTTTCTCAAAATATTGGACAATATGGTTTACCACTAGATGTACTAAATGTGGTTTTAAATAATTCCAATGCGACTATGAAAAATAAAGATTTTTTAAACTTTTACGATGTGAAAATTCATACTATACAAAAAGTTTTCTACTTTATGATAGAATTATTAAAAATAGTGAATTATAAACATTTTGGCTTTTCTTTTCGCTCACTGTGCTCTTGCTCGATGACGCCATATTTCGCTGAAGCTTGATGAGCGTCGCATTACCTCAAGAATTCACATCCTTCTCTCTTCTTTCCCGGAGCTCGCCTGTGAATATTCTTTTAAGTAAGAAATTTCTTTTTTTTTCTTTATTAATGTTGTTGAATAAGAGTATATATTGTTGGTTACTGTTTTCTAGAGTTGAAACGAGGGAATGCTTCATATTTATTTTAAAAATTCACATATCGTGATACCAATCTTGGTCAATTTTTTAAGTCTGTTTAACTAGCTCTGTTTCTTCCTTTTATATTAATGTATTTATTGTTTGTTACAGTTTAAATTAAAAAATATTCAAATATGTCATTCATGGGCCCATCAACTTCAGGTCTCTCTAGAAGTGTGAGTTTATAATTTTATCCAGATTAAAAATAAAACTAATATCTACATGCAATCAAGAATATATTTTTATTTCCGTCTTAAATTCTCTTAATATCTCTCAACAGTAAAGTTTACTAAGTAAACATTTAGTCCTGAATAGTTTTTAGTTTAATAAATTTTTCAATACTCGCCCAAAACCAGTCAATTAAATTTGTCACTTTGTTGAGAAGCTTAACTATACTTGTCTATTTCAAACCTTATTAATATTTGTCTCATGTATTATTGGTTAATTGCAAAAAGTCGTCACCTCTCATCAAATTAAATCACTATGCACTTCAATGAATTTTCCTTCGATGAAATCAGGACTTTGTTCAACTAGTGTAACTATATATGGTATATATAAGGATTTGTGTTATTTTCATGCACTTACGGTGTGTTTATATTCAAGAATAAGATTGAATTTTTAAAAAATGTGTTTTAATCTGCACAAAAAATGTGCTTATTGACTTTTTACAATAAATCAACAATATTTTTTCTGCTAATTATATATTTTTTAATGTATCCTGGTCTTCTGAAAAAAAGTGTAAATTTTTTATTGTTTTCAACTGAATTTTTATTGACTGATTCCTTCTTAAGAATCTTATTTAAAATTAATTCATCAGAATTACTTGAAAGGTGATAATTTTTTTTTTAAATCCACAGGTACTTGGTAATGCTGATGCTTCCATACAGTCATCACGTAATCAGACTTCATCAAACGAATCCCTTGATAACACAGATCATGTATCTAGATATTTTGAAGCACCTAATATAAATCCCAAAAAAAACAATACAATGACCTTAGATAACTTTAGTGATATGTTCACACGCCCTGATAATCGCAAAAAAACTATATGTAAATTTGATCTCAAGAAGTTTAAACTTGAAGAGTTAACGGTGAGGATTGAAAATGGTTTTCTTGTGATCAGAGGAAATCATAAAGAAAAGAGAGATAAATTTGGCCTTATCTCAAGATCATTCATAAGAAGAGTGGTCGTTCCAAGAAATATAATTAATAATGAAATCAGATCATACTTCTTTTCCAATGGATTACTAACGGTAACTGCAAAGGTAATTGAATTGAGATTATTTTTCTGTGTAAGATCATGATAAACTAGGGCATATAATTGTATTGACATACAGTACTCTGTTGTTCTTATACCAAAATGCTACTCATTCTTCATCTTCTAATATTTATCATTTAACTAGTTCTAACTTTGAGGGTCTGCTAGTGATTCAGAGTTTCTAATCTAGTGAGGTTCTGTATTCTGTGTTATGTTAATAGTTATCATATTTTATTATGAATACAATAACTCATATAATTATCATCCGGAATGAATTGGGGAGTTTTCATTATTTAATGTTTTCTTTTTATAATAACTCTATTAGAAAACTGTTTTTAATGTAAATACCACCAAAAACATTTAGTAAGCTTATCAATATACCCTAGAGATGAGCTCCATTACAGAATTTATTGACCACTTTTTAAGTGAACAAATTTATGCTTTCTGGTTATCATATGTGATAAATAGTCAGGATGCAGTTACTTTAAGATTTTTATTGTTGCCTACGTTTCAACCCAAGCATGTGGGTCATCATAATGTTATGTTACTGTCACTGAAAGTACTTTTGAAATTATTGAGTCCTGACTCTTTACAGATTTTATATTTTAGTACAGTCGACTAACTTCTTTCAATATTTCTAGTTATAAAAAACAATTTGACTGTTTATATTTCTGGCTTTATATATTTGGATAATTTAAGCTGCGATAAACTAATAATTATTATTATTTCAGAAAAGATCAAGAATATCCCGCATAAAAGAGATAACCATACATCAGATTAATAAACCAGCTTTGGCAGAACACATGATTCCACCAAATTTCAGACAACCGCTGAATTGCCAAAAGCACACAATGTTTAAACCTGGATTCTTGGCAACCTTGGATTATTTTCGAAAATGTGCACAGCCTTCTAACATACAAAATAGGTGTTTCAACTAAAAGTTTTCATTGATTTTATAATTCAAGAAAAAAGTTGGAAATATTAAAGCAGGTTGATGCACTTTTTCCAGTGGTATATATTTATTTATGCACTGATGAATTTAATTCAACAATAATTATCAGAAGGTTTTAAAACAGGGTTTTCTGTTATTTTTTATTATAAAAATCATTATATTTTTTATGTTTTAGCAGTTGCTGGTAAGGTATTACAATGTATTACATTTAAAATTGTGAATGAAATATAAAATGCCTTTAAGATATGTATATCTTTTCAGACTGTAATTTCTAAGAAAAAATAAATTGTTCATTAAAAGAATGGTTTAAAGGCCTAATATAAATAATTAATTTGACTAATTAATAAAGTTGGATTAAATTAATTTATGTTTTATTAACCTGACATTGACAAATCTTAAACCACCAAGTATAATTATATTCTAACCATTATCCTTTTGTTATTAGCTCTTTATTATATATAGTATTTATTATCACCTGTTTGTTTAAGTGTGTACTATTTTGCTTGTACCTGAATTAAGAGGTGTTAACTTAATTTGATTTATTTGACTCATGGCAGGTGAAAGATCATTTACAACATTTAATTCCAGACAAACCCTATTTAAATTTATAATTTTATCCTTATTATTAAATCCCTCGTTTGCTTTTCATTTTGGTGTGTATATGGTTTAAAATTAATTATTCGGTCTTATGGTTCTTAAATAATTGGCTTCATTTTTGTTAATTAGCTAAGTGCCATTTATTTTGCACAATGCTATTAATAACTTTGTCTAGGGTAGGAATGATGGACTATCTTACAAATTACCAATCTATACTAACCATAGCAAGAAAATTGAAATTTAATATGCAGATGTGTCTCAATAAAGAATACTAAATTGATTCTTCAGCATGCACAGTCACTATAGCCTCAAGTAGGTCTTAACTCATTGAATAAATTTTACTTCTCATGATGCCATCTATGGAATTTGTAACATAGTAGATAAGAAGTATTAATTAAGATCGACATTTTATACATGGAGCTCTAAGTTACTTTATTGATTGTTCTGAATTATTTATAAAGATTATTATCTAAGCACTGTCTCATACAAATTTAGAAACTGGAGGAAAGTTTTGTAATGTTATATGTAAATGTGTCAATTATTTATTCTTTTACACCATTTGCAAGTGCTGTAGTGTACCTGGCAAATCTAATGTAAATATTTTGTGACTTTGATTTTATCTTATAACGGCCTTCAAATTAGTATTATTGGTAAGCAGCTGGTCTTTTGACAACTTCCTTTTTAAGCTGCCTCAACTTGGTAACAGAGAGGAGAAAAGTGATCAAATGAGTAGATTGGGATGATCATACAGTATTAGAACAGAACTCTAAAGTACCTTTAGTATGGTTTATTTAGAAACATTAACTCTCTTTTATTGACAATAACTATAAAAAATAACTAAATATTAAGTTTGAATGAATACAATAATTGGAAACTGAAGAAAAAAAGAAAACTTCTTATCCAGATTTAAAATGGATCTCCGGAAATAATAGTCAGAAGATATACGTATAATACATTGTTGGAAAGCGGAGAATTTCAGAAAAATTAATATCAAATAAATAAAGTTATAGAAAGTAATGGAGAGTGACGAAAATAATATAAATAATAATTTCAGAAAACTAACACTATTTAACATAAATCACTTGTTTCCAAGAAACAAAATAAAATTTCTTATTAAATGTAAACTTTTCAGTTTTTTTGTAGGTTTGATAAAAAGTACTTAAAATCCATCGAATCAAGCCCATGCCATTGTTTAAAATACTATTCCAATTTGCTTGTGGGAAATTTAAAAATGTTTCATGGATTTATTTATAACCTTACATACATTTACTGCAATTTCAGAACGCTTGATATTATATTTAAATAATTACCCGTTTATTCCAAAGAATCATCAATTTATTCCTACAATCCATAATAATTTATAGGTTAAATATTCAGATATACTTTCAAATCTCTCTAGGCATATATGAGCCTTTTGATTGACAGAATGACTTAACTCGAATTCCAACATTTTTTAATGTTAATTTTAGTGATGTTTTTAGTGGCAAAATTTATATCTTTATGCACAGTTCTATGTTTCAACACTGCAATCACCTACTCTGAAATCAACTTACTCACTGTCTGTATTGATATAATTATATCAACCAGAAATATCACTAAAATGACATTACTCAAAAATGTTGAAATTGGAGTTGGTCATTCTGTCAACTGAGAAAGGCTCAGATACTAGTCATTCTGCCAACTGAGAAAGGTTCAGAGACTGAAGTTGTGTGGTTTATAAAAGCAGATGGAGATTTTTATTGCCTACCGTTGATGTAATAAATAGAATTTTTGTAATTTTAATGGTGTTAATGATTTGTTATCTGTAAGCTTTAAGCTTTAGCTCTGTTTAAAATGCACTTCAAAAATTGTATAATAGCCCAACATTGTCAGAAAATAATTTCTATTCCAAGTGAGCGGTAAGTGAAAGTTATGTGTTGTGCCCACCAGGTTTTTAACAATCAACTACAGACATTCTATGTACATAACATTATGAAATTTGTGGAAAGATGGAAAAAGTCATATTAAATAATGGTCAATATATTGCACATAAAAATAAATTTTATGTCTATAATACATCAAGTTTAATTTCACCCTGAAAAACCGAAATGACTTATTAACCAACCCAATAAATTAATAACATTATCATTATTTTGCAAAAAAAATGGTCTTTTTTAATTGTGTGCTTAACAATAACCTCTTGTAATTATAATGTTTCTTTTGCTTTCATAAGAAATTTCTACATATATTAATATTATTTATAAAAATAAAACAATGAAAATGATTGAAATTATAGGAATTTAATCCTGAAAACTGACAGGACTTGTTTGTGAACTCAATAATAAATTACTTTTATATAAGTAGCTCTTTGACCAAGGTTTTTCATGTAAATAAATATCATTCATAGCCAGGCTAATTATGACCATTAGCACTCCATTGTTGGGCTTATATCATTATTGGGAGTTATCAAAAGTCATTATCAATTACTTAATTGACTTGACTTAATTGATTGCGCCTCACACCCCAGTGTGCTGTGTATGTACCTGTTCTGTGGATTTTGTATCCCACTGTTTTCTTTGTTATTTTGAAACTTCAAATAATTCAGGATTGGATTTATAATGTTCTACTTGTTAATTAGTGGTATTCTCAATTCAGACATTAATGTATAGAAACTATTTTTTTTAGCATGGCAACTATCAAAAAAATGTATTCTTCTCCTGAAGAAATCCATAAATTGTTATGGGAGTTAGATGATGAAGAAAAGGTGCAAGGAACATATTAAATAAAGAAAGCGTTGTCAATTTTAAACAAATGACAGTTATTCACTACATCAAAAAAAAAAAAATAAGGATGTTGTCTCTCTGATTTTTCTTTGGAATATTGAACCATGCTGATATGAACAGCATGATATTGCTCTGCTTTGTTAACTAGGAAAAAAAGATGAAATGAATAAATTATTTATTTGGATTAGGCTATTCGTTACTTGAACTCTGATTGAAAAGAAGAATGCAACTGGAGACATTCACAAAAACATTTAGTTTCAACATAAATGAAGTTTTGAGAATTAAAAAATAAACAACTATTGTTGAGAAAAATAAGCCAAATATTTGCTTTTCGCGATAGTTCCAAATTTATATATATATATATATATATATATATATATATATATATATATATATATATATATATATATATATATATATATATATATATATATAAAATTGATATTAACTTAATGTGTTTTCAATGGAAAAATATTGATCCTTTTTTGATTATTTAGGGATGCATATGTTACCATTTTACTTTATTTGAGTATATAAAATACATTATCAAAGGTTACCTTGAATATTTTTATTTATTTGTTTTCCTGATCATTTAGCTTGTTTCTGAAAACTTTTCCATGGCATGACAATTAAATTTAATGATTATTTAAAGTTTGGGGTGTATGACACCCCAGAATGTAAGAATGAGTTGGCATATTTAAGTGTGTCGTTCTAGGCTTAATATATGAATTTATACTAAAATATGGCTAGTTAATATTTAATTAATATTAATTTAGTTATTTAAATCAATTATTAGGGTTGAAGTTGTCAAAAGTTTATTACTATTTGTTTTAGCAATAGGTAAACACTATTTAAAATATTTTCATCCCCTTGCATGTCTGTCTCCTCTTCTCCCACAATTATTACAATAAAATAGTTTTTAGTTTAAACAATATTTTTTTTAAATCTTGTTTATTGGAAAATATTACAATTTGCCTGAAGGGATATTATTATGCTACATAAACAAATTTTTAAAAAGGCTGTTTTAATAATAATTCGTTTCATTTCTGAAATATTATCAACTAATTAGATTTTATTGTTTATTTTTGGAATAATATAAACTTCGAAATGCTGAGCTCTCAGAAAAAGTTTTATTTATTTACATTATTTTTTTCATGATCTATCCCTCGAACAATCATCATCTTTGTGCAATTATAACTTAGAATTATATTTGTTTATTAGATTAATTCAAGCTTTTTTATCCCTATTAAATGTATATATTTAAATAACAAATAATTTTTTATTTCATGTTTTGAACGGAAGCTTATATTAAAAAAATTAAAAATGAATTGGGATTTGTTTGTTTTAGACAGGTTAAGATTTTGTATTTAAAATTAAATTCTGGTATTTCTAATCATTCTGTGGTGCTGATTTAATCTTTTGGAAATCTTCCAACGAAAGTGGTCTGCTTTGATTTTTTTTTTGATGATTAATTTTAAATAAATCAATAGTTAAGATTGATTATCTTTTGAATGACCTTCATTGTAGAAAGGCTGATGTATTTTGTTTAAGGTTATATTGCATAGCAAGGGTTATATGACTCAGCAGAAGTTTAGATACCCTCAAAGAAAATAAATAAAAAAGTAGCTTATGAGGTGTGTTTAGACATTTCACAAACTATATGAAAAACAAATATTTAAATGGTCATTTCCCTATGCTAATGTTTTTGATATTTTCCATTTTCTGTTGGTGACAACAGGAAAAAAAAAAATTATAATTTTTTGCGAAAAAATTATTTGCGAAAGTGTAATTATAATTTTTGTCGAAAAAATAATATTAATTTTAGAGTTTCCTTCACCTCAATGTTCCATGTGTTTCCGATTTGGCCAAATCCTGATACCTATCCTTCCAATACCAATGGGTGGTTTCTCAACAAGCGTGTTTCATGTGATAATATTTCTATGTACACATTTACTTGATGTATTCATACAAAAAATTATTGTATAAAAAATTGCTGTATTACCAATACTTAAAGGCATTACAAAAAGTAGAGAGCGATTAATTTAAGGGTGAGGAATTATTTCTTTTGCATCTTTTAGTGGTTGAAATATCAAATACATTTATATTTTTTATTATTTTCTTTTAAATGTTTTTCTTGATAGATTTAAAAAAAAAAACTAAACTTTGGGTTCCACTTTATATGAATAAATCCATAATTTGGTCGGATAAAAATGGTAGATAGTTTTTCCTTTTAAAATTCAGTAGTTTCAAATTTTTGCCATGTAATATTGAAGGGGCAATAAATCAGATTTTTTTTAGTTGCCAGAACTGTGTCCAGAATAATTAAATCATATTTAATTTGAAAACCAGTGAACCTCTTAGAAAAAGCTTTATATCTTAACATAAAATCATCAGATTTAGAGAACTAAGAACTATTTTATCCTGGACGTGTGCTGTTGGATGACGTAATGTTCATCAGATACTTTGATAGCACTCCTCTCTGAAAAACCACACCCTTCTTTCTCTTCTGCTGACTGGATTCCTTGTTGGTCACTTCATCAGTGAATATTCTTTCAAGTAAGCTTTGTATTCATTTTATTTGTTATTAAACAATACCTATTCATGAACATAATTTTCTAGTAATGAATGAAATGCGCATTAGCATCTAAAATATATTACTTACATTACAGATACAGATTAATAGTTTATTTACTTTTTATGTTTCAGTTCTTTATAATAAATTATTTTTATTGTTTATTATAGTTTAAATTGTACTGCCTACTTAAAGCATGTCATCCATGAGCTCATCAAATTTATTTCTAAAGAGAAACGTGAGTAAATAATTATGTTTTACACAATTAGTACAACAGTAGTTAATGACTGATTAAATATTCATGAGTAATAACCATATATACTTATGTGTGTTCATTGATATATTAACTGAAATCTATAAAGAACAAGAATTCAGTGTTTTACCAATGTGGACGATTCTAGGAGAAGTGATTTTTTTTTTTCTCAATCCGTTTAGGTTGCTTTACATAAAATATTAAACATTTCAAATTAAATAAAGCATAGTTTAATATTAATATTTTTTAAAAAAAGCTTGTCTCAATCTATTGTAAGTCCCTTATACCCAAGAAATATCTCTGATCCACCATGGTCAAAATTCAAGAATTATCTAGTTTGAGGACTCTATTACAGCAGATTAAAAAGGGATATTATTAATATGTAAAAAAGATTTCCTTATTGTTTGAAGTAATTTCTCAAGATTTGTCATCATCAGGTTCTATATTTATCTGTTTATCTTATACATGAAATGTATATTTTTTAGAATTCAGTTTACAGGCAATTCAGAGAAGGTCACTTGCATTAAAATTAGTAATTTTTTTTATTTTATAAAAAAACATGGTACTTTTCAAGTTCTGCTCCACATTGAAGGGTTGGCACAAGATCTCATATTAACTTTGTTAGTGGAATTCCTATAATAGTATAGATATAGGTCTACACTGTCTATTACTAAACCATCTGTTATGGCTCCGATCTCATCCAAAAAGGACCTGTTAAGGGTTTGTTCAGTTCTTTTGAGTGAGGGAAGTGAGCAGCAGTCGAAAGCAGAGATTTAATTAAGGCCCCAATTTAACTGAAAAAGGCCAGTCGGGAACTGATGGGTGACAAAAATTGTGATCGAAATAAGAGATGGGAGGTCTTACTTAAAGATTTCCATTAACAGTCTGGTATCTTCGCTGTTCTGCCCATCCATAAAAGTGAAGCAATAATTGGTAAGTAGTACTCCAAAATACTGTAAAACTGGATGGATGGCATTTTTTTTTTTTTTTTGTTTTTTTAGGTATCAATATCATTTGTTTATTTAGAAATATCACATTCTGTCACATCAAGGACATTTGTAATAGTGTTCAGAGAACACACTCACACTCTATTTACAATAAATAAAAAAAATAATAATAATACAGAAACTTAATAATAATAAATACAATAAAATAAAATAAAATTAAATACAATAAAATAAAATAAAAATAAATACAATAAAATAAAATAAAAATAAATACAATAAAATAAAATAAATGTATATAAACAAAAGAACTAACCTAATCATACACACTCGGGCTTGAGTGGAGGATCTGGCCATTGCCAAAACTCCAATAGATGCTTATTTACAGAAGGTCTCTGGGCCACTGCCGCTTCAACCTTCGAGGAGGATTGTAAGGATGGGTGGTGCTGGATAGAGATTGTGCAAGGGGATTTGGATGATAGGTAAGGTTCTGGTGAAATTTGGAGAATTTTTCTGGAATAAGGTCTAGGACAAATGGGATATTAAGGTCATGGTGTAGGATTTTGTTATTTACATAGAACGGAGCATCAACTATTGTTCGAAGGACTTTAGATTGAAAGGATTGAATACGTTTGATGTTAGAAGCTTTTGCTGTCCCCCACAGTTCAAGTCCGTATGTCCATATAGGTTTCAGTATTGTCTTGTAGATAAGTAATTTGTTTTCAATAGAAAGTTTGGATTTTCTGTTTAGTAGTCTGTATAGCTGGCCGTATCGTCGGTTGAGTTCTTGTCTTTTGAGTCTAGTATGTGGGTTCCACGTTAGTCTTCGGTCTAAATGAAAACCAAGATACCGGACTGTGTCTGAGTAAGGAAGCTGGATGGAATTAAAGTGTACTGGTGGACAGGAGCTGCGTCGGAGTGTAAAGGTAATATGTTGGCATTTAGATTCATTAACTTTAATGCGCCAGTTATTACACCAGTGCTCAATCAAGGTGAGGTGGTTTTGGAGATTTAAGGATGCTATGTTGGGATCAGAGTTGGATGATAAGATTGCGGTGTCGTCAGCGAATGTTGCAAGAAAAGTATCGGGATGAACAGGGATGTCAGCAGTAAAGAGGATGTAAAGCACGGGACCCAAGACGCTGCCTTGGGGAACACCGGCTTTAACGGAGTAGATATTGGAAAATTCTGTTCCACAGCGAACTCGGAAGGAGCGGTCAGAGAGGTAGGATCGGAGGACTAGGTACAAGGACTGAGGTAAATGGATTTTAAGCTTGAAGAGCAGTCCGGAGTGCCATACCCGGTCAAATGCCTGTGCAATGTCCAGAAATGCACCCGAACAGTATTCCTTGTTTTCTAGAGCTGAGGAAATATGATCAACAACTCGGAGTCCTTGTTGAACAGTAGAATGTTGGGAGCGAAAACCAAACTGATGGGAAGGAATATTTTGGGATTCTATAATGGGTAGGATTCGTTTCAACAGGATCTTTTCAAAAATTTTTGAAAGGATTGGGAGTAGGCTAATTGGTCTATAGGATGTTGAGATATTGGGAGGTTTGCCTGGTTTTGGGAAAAGGATAATAGTGGAGTGTTTCCATAGCAGAGGGAAGTGGGTGGTGCGTAGGATACAATTGTAGATATATGTAAGGAATATGACTGCTTTGGATGGAAGTTGTCGAAGGATTTGAGGGGTAAGGAGATCATGTCCAGGAGCTTTACGGGGGATTAGTTTTTTTAATTGAAATTTCACTTCGGAAGGATGAATAGCTTTTGGGGGCAAGGAAAGTGGGATTGGTGATGTAAGGAGTTCTTCTACTGTTATGGTGTGGGCAGGATGGGATTCCGGATGTGAAATAAATGTATTGGATAGGTGAATGGCGAACTCCTCAGCCTTATCTTCGTCAGATGCTGCCCAGGAGCCATCATCTCGTCGGAGGGGATGGGAAATGCGGTGAGGATTTAGGATTTTGGTTGTGGTTTTCCAAAGGGAATTGTCGCGAGAAGAGAGGGAGGATAGGTAGGAGTTGAAGGAATGTGATCTGAAGGTGGCTAATTCCAGTTTTAATTTTTTGCAGTAATAATTATAGGAGCAGCGGTCGGCAGGATGTCGGGTACGTTGCCACAATAATCTGGCACGGCGTTTGGTGTGGATTAGGTCAAGGAGGTGTTGGGGTAGAATGGTCTTTTTAGGAATTCTGGAGGAGTCTTTAGGGAAGGAGGCAGTCCAGGCGGCTTGTTGGATTGTGGTAGTAAAGGAATTTACGGCACTATCAAGGTCATCGGGAGTTTTGAGGGATATGTTGAGATCAATATTATCGGAGATTATTTGGCGGAAAAGGTCCCAGTTTACTGGGCCCCTAATGAATGACGGTGGAGAAGGTTTGGGAACAGGTTCAAGTGAAACATTAAGGATTAGAGGACTATGGTCAGAGGAAAGTTCATTTAGACGTGTAATGGAACAATTGAGGGGACTTAAGCCGCTGTGGATAAAGAAATCAAGAAGATCAGGATTACGGTTGGGATCTGTGGGCCAGTAGGTAGGAGAGTTGGGGGAAAGGAGGTGAAAACGTTGGGAATTGAGTGCAGACAGCAGGGTTCGGCCACGAGAATTCGTGGTTCTGGAACCCCATTGTTGGTGCTTGGCATTTAGGTCTGCACCCAAGATGAAGTGATGTCCTAAGGAGTCGAGGAGAGAACTGAATTGGGCATTGGATATGGATCGGTTAGGAGGGCAATACGCTGATGCAAGAGTGACCGGAAAGGAGAAGGTTTTTATCACGATAGCGGTGGACTGTAGGAAATCATGTATTGGTAATGGGAGTACGTGATGGGAGAGGGATTGGTGTACAATTACAGCAGTACCGGCATGTGCTTTTCCGTCAGGGTGGTCAGTACGATATGTCAGGTATTGTGGTATATTGAAGTGCTGTTTAGTGGTTAGTCGAGTTTCAGTAATTAGTGCCACATCAATGTTCTTGTCAAGTAGTAAAGTAGATAGTTCGTCTGTATGATTTCTAACACCATTCGCATTCCAAAGGAGAATGGATATGGGTTTAGGGATGTGAGTCATTTAAGGATTTTTCAGAGGAGGGATGAGGTGAGATACGAGATTCGTGAGGAGTGATATGAGTGGAGTAACAAGGGATTTGAAATCGGTGAGGAAAGATGCTAACAAACTTGTGAGATCTGTTGCATTTGAAGGAGGAGGAATATGAGGAATTTGTTGTTGGTGGTTAGGTATATTAGGATGAAGAGGATTTTGAGGTTGGGTTTGAGGTTGTTGTGGCAGGGCTTGACATTTATCGGTTAAAGTCTTACCTCTAAGTAGTTGGGAGAATGATACATCATTGTTTACAATTCTGGAAGGCTCTCTCTCTCTTCTTGTTCTTAGTGCTTCATCTTGAATCCGGTTTTTCTGGTGTCTGGTTTTGAGATTCTTGTAAATTTGGCAGCCTTTGTAGTTGGCCGGGTGTCCCTCCAAGCATAGGGCACATACTGCTGGATCTTGTATAGGTTTGGTGCACTCTACAGATTTGTGCTGTTCACCGCACTTCACGCAACGCGGCAGATGGTGGCAATATGTCTTCGTGTGGCCATAGGTCTGACAATTATGGCACTGCACGATGTCTCTCTTGGGATATGGCTTCTCAACTTTCACCATTGTGTAGTATATTCTTGTGATATCATATATTTTTTCGATACCTGGTGATGGCTCCAAGTCCACGAAAAACAATGGTAGTGGGATCCTATTTCGTAATCCTGGCTGCTCCCTGTCCTCCTTCAAAACGTTTGTTACCTGGCGTACATTGAAACCAAGCGTCGTTAGTTCTTCTTTAATAACTTCAGTGGGGGTTGAGGAATGTAAATTTCTTATCACTACTCGTAAAGCTCTTTCCTGCCTCAGCTGGTAAGTGTGAAAATTCGCATTTGTTTCTGATAAGTACTTCACTATTTTTCGGTAGGCTTCTGCAGAATCAGGTGTTATTTTGGTGTCATTGGTCCTGTTAAGGCATGAATAACTGCCAGAGCAGATTTTATTTAGTTGGGTGCAGAACATCTGGAAATTTTTTATATTTTTCACAAATATCGGAGGAGGCTTTGGTTCTCTGGGTATTGCTGCAGACTCCATTACTTCTCTGTCATTTTGAAGCACTTGGTAGGGGTTTGGAGTAAAGAAAGGTGATTCTTCAATCGTTTCTTGTGCAGACGTACCTGGTTGGGGCTGAGGTTCTGGTTCTGAAGTGTTCATTTTGGTCACTGGAGGTATTTCTCGTAGGCAGCGACGAGTCCTTTGTTTGGCTGGTGAGCTAACTCCGTCTGACCGAGACCTCTTGGGCACCTTACTGGCCATCACTTGCTGATCATACCGCATATCATAAGAGAAAAATAAATAAATAAATAAAAAAAAAAAAAAATTTTTTTTTTTTTTTTTTTCTTAAAATAACAAAAAAAAAGATGCCAACAGTAAATATCAACTGCTCTGATATACACTTAACTGTATCACGTGAATAATCAGAGAGATTCCGCTATAAAATTGGTAAAAACTGAGAGAGGAGTTGAGGAGACAACCTTCTCATCAGCTGATCCACTGCCTTGTAAAAACTGAGAGAGGAGTTGAGGAGACAACCTTCTCATCAGCTGATCCACTGCCGGATGGCATTTTTAAATAAAGCAATATTGTTGGGTCATAATTAATATTTTCGAACTTCCTCCTGAAGTGAATTTTGTTGTTGATCAGGACTCAATAAAATGTACTTCAGGACAAAAAAATCTGAAGAATTAGGAAAAAAACTTTTTTTGTTGCAAAAAAAAGACCTCTTTTTCATTCATCTATTTGCCCTTATGTAGATATTATTAGATTGCCTGCAATCTATTGTAACTAGAATTTAATGTTTTCCAATATTACAACTCTTTTAAAAGTTATAAATTATATGATTTTTGTTATATTGTAAAGTTCAATTTTTGCAAATGAATCGTTCAAAACAAAATAAAAAATAAATAATAAATCCAGTTAATCATACAGAAATGATAACAGAAAACACATAATTAAAAAACAAAACAAAATATCTACAGTTAAATTATTAACCTCTACAGACTTCAAGAATAAATGTCTTCATCTCCTTGTTGTACTTTTTGAAAATATACTTTTCTCTTAGTGGCCAGTTATTACCTTGGAGAACTATGCTTCTTATTAAATTATGGAGTTTACTGTGAAAGATAGGGCAGTCATAAAGAATATGATGAAATGTCTGGGAAGTTTGTCCACCGCAGTGACATGTATCAGTAATCGTCTGATGAAACCGTTTTTAGTAAAATTTGCTTTGCCCATGTTCAGTTAAAAACTGTATGAATTTATAGTGTGTAACTTATACCAGGTATTTATTTGTTGTTTATTTACCCTTTTTTAGTTGTGTATTACAATATCCTGTCGTATGTTGTCCCTTAAAACTCTTATATATGAATATTAATCATAGTTCTGAACTAGAGATGTATTTTCTATGGGATTAATTATTATTTATTGATATTCAGTTGTTATACCTATTAAAAAAACTATTTAAACAAAAACCTTTGAAATTATTGTCTTTAATATAATTTTGAAAAGTCAATTGATAAACCTAATTTTTTAAATTATTTATATATATACAATTTATTTTAATATTAAATAATTAAAGAATTAAATTAATACTAACACCATATTTGATTTTTACTCCAGTTGCTTCGTAATGATGAGGACTCAGTACCTTTATCATATCATCATTGTCTACAGAATAATTCTCTTGATATGATGGGTCTTGTACCACCTACAATTGATTGGATAGAGAACAATATTGATAATGCTAGAATGACAATATGTAAGTTTAGTGTCAAGGGGTTTGATCTAGAAGAGTTATTGGCAAGGATTACAAATGGTTTCATTGTGATCAAAGGGAGGCATGATGAAAAGAGAGACAGGACTGGTCTTACCTCAAGAATGTTCACAAGAAGAGTTCCCATTCCTTGTGATGTAATTGAAGATGAAATAAAAGTTCATCTTTGCTCTAATGAATTTATCTTAATCTCTGGAAAGGTAAGCAAATTTAGATAGTATGTGTATTTGATGTCATTAATTTCTCATTTGTATTATTGTACTGTACTTTTCTATTATTGTGATCCCCGTCAAAGTGTTACTTACTCTATAATCATCTCTGATTAAAAATTATCCTAATTTTTTAGCAACTGCTAATGGTTCAGAGACTAGATATTTTAAAATAGAGGGTTACATAAGTATTTATTCTTTGAATTATATTTGTATTCTAAATTGAATTAACGTAATAAATAACCCATGTGCTTTGTTCTCTATTTTAGATTTATCTTGACTAAATTATCTTAACCAATTGTGTTACAAAGACTAAAACTTTTATCCTTAAAACAACTTATCAATTAATTGCAATTGCAAATATCAAAAATAAGAAATAATTTGAGAAAAATTTATTTTAGCCTGTTGATATAGCGAATCAGTTTGGAACATGCTAAATGAAATACAATCCAATTATTCAGTAATATGTTGCTTAAGAAATTAATTTTGAATTTTATTTTTTTGTGGAGGGGGGGAGACAGAGATGCTCATGATGCCACTGCCTTAAGGAACCGATTGTCTAAGGCACTAAATATAAGTCAGTTTCAAATATTTATTGTTTCCTTTTAAGCATTGCTGAAATTAAAAAGTAAAGTTTTATTTCATTTGTGATTTTGTGGTCACAAGTCAATTTATATTCCAATTTTTTTATGATTTAGAATTATATTTAATGAATAATGGACAAAGGATTTTTAAATTTTAATTATTCTTGGATAATGTCTGCAGCTTTATTCCTTAGGTTTCTCAGTAATTGTGTAATCATTATTAGTTGGGTTTCGTAGTGCAGATTTTGTTTCTCAGGTATCTATCACCCAGCAGTTGCAATTTATTGAAGTCAGCTCTTTTATTTTTATTATTATTATTGATATTATATTTCTTTTTGCTAAGATACTTGCAATGCTGAAACATTTGCTAACTATGACTCTGTGTAAATGGTAATTCCTCTGTGTGTTGACTTTATCCAAAATCTTTGTTCAGGGGCTGGCCCTTTGTTAAGTGAGGATTTAGAACATTATAAAAAGCCTCAAAATTGTTTAAAATAACCTCAAAATTGTTTATAGTTAAAATAACCTCACCCCTCTTTTTGGCCATTTGATGGTTTGGCCTCTCATAATAGTTGGCTTGTACCCTGTTCTGTTTCTCTTTGTCTACTCCATTTCTATGCAAAACTGAATTAATTGGGGATTAATTCATATCATACCTAGATAAGGTCATACTTACTTTATTACCAATTTAGTTTTACACTCAATCTGTTTTTTCTCTATGGTTAACTAATTATACTAATATTAAACAAAACTAAAATTATTAAGATTTTCAAATAGAACATCGAATATATAGTTTTATAATATTGATTCAGCTAAAAATGTCTGTTTTTGAAATTATTGTTGTCGTGATTTCAGAAAAGATCTGAAGTTTTGGAAATACCTCTACAGATAGTACATATTCCAGCCTTAAAGCAAAAGAGGGATCAACCAGCTATCAGACAATCACTAAATTGCCCCAGTACAACAATGCTTAATCCGAAATTCTTATCATTCTTGGATATTTTCAGAATACCTTCCCAGCTTTGTAAACACAACAGATTTAAGAAACAAAATTTGTCTATTCCTATCCTACATAGAAAGAAAACAATTTTAGACTGACATTTTAAGAAGCATTGTATCAACAACTAGCCAAGATTATTTTGTTTCTGCTGCTATGAATTTATTTAAAAATTACTGCCAACTTTTCTTTTCAATGTTTAGTTTTTCTCAGAAAGTCTAATTACATTAGACTTTTTTTAAAATGTTCTTTTATCACACAATTGTTAATATATAACATTAAATATTTGTAATTGATACAAGGTGTTCCCTTGTACTATATATATGTTTATGTTAATTATAGTTTAATACTTATAAAATAAATGTATATATTGGTAAAAATAAATAAACAGAAAAACAAACAAAACAATAATACTGTCTTGATGATAAAATAAAATATAGATAAATAATTATATGTTTGGCTTACTTATTTTTAAATGTGTAGGTCGTATTTTTAGTATAATTACCTATTTAAAATATTAAAGGACTCAAAAAGTGTTGGAAAGATTAAAAAAAGTTTCCGTTAATTTGTGTAGATGTTCTTACATGAAGGGTATACTTAGTTCTGAGTGCATCTTGGTTATTTTATTATATGCATAATTTTTAACAATTCTGAAGAATTTAATTTGTAATACTTGAAATTTTTTAAGATTAGTTAAATTAGAGAAATTCCGTATTGGTCGGGAGTATGGTTTGGTTTGTATTGAAGCTGATTTATACAGAATCAGTTCATTTCTAGGTTAAATTTTGGACTTTTCATCTAAATAGGAAAACATTCTTTACAACATTTTTCTTGCATTTTCTAATTTTAAATTAATGTGCTGTTTTGATAGGAATTTATTATCAAGTGTTATTTTTATGTATTTTATTGACTTGGCAAAAGTAATAGAGGTATTATTTAAAATTATATATGTTTGTTCGAAGAAAATACAGGTCTTTTAATAATAATAATGCAGTTTTTTAAAAATTATAGCTTCATTAGTTTTTTTTTGTTTAATGTTGAGGTGTATTTCCCATTCTTTTTGTGGCAAGATACACCGCGGCCAAATTAGGCTATTGTGCGCCATAATTATTCACTGTTCATAACAAAACATTACTTTAGCAGCATTAGCAAACTGTAAAAGGCTTGTCTTTACTGAAAAGACCACTGTTCTCGGACAAGGTACATAGATAGTTTCTTGATTGATTCTTTTAGTCTATTGATAATAATATCTATCCTGTTATTGGAAGAGAATAATGCTGTTTCATCAGCAAACATATTGATGTTTTAGATTTTAGAAAAATCATTGAGGAATAAATTAAATAATATTGGACTTAAGTAGGATCCTTAAAAGAGACCATTCACAGTATTGTTAACAGGGAAACATAAATTATTAACTGAAAAAAATAACGATCTATCATATAAAAATTATTCTATTAATAGTAATAGATATCTTAGAAAATTAAGGTATAAATTACAAAAATTGTGGTACAGATCATAATATCTGTGAAAAACTATCAGAACAAATTATAGAATATTAACAAATGATTTTAAAATGAAAAAAAAAGTCAATGAATACATAAACCAAATATTGTATCCAGTAAAATAAAAGAAGTTACAACCAAGAAGGTCGAGGATCTTGGAGCTTACCAACAGTTATTTAATTTAGTAGAAGGGAAATTCCCAGCAATGTGTACCAGTTGCCAGCAACTATCAAGTTCATATTAATAGAATGTCAACTGCACAAAGAACAAGAAGAAAACTTGGGATCAACAGACATAACCTAAGTAGGTTAATTGGAAAAGATAAAAAAAATATTTAAGATAAAAAATAGAAAATTATTTATATTTTTTATTATAAACATTTCATATAATAATGTAATAATTATTAAATTCAATTTCTTTAATCACAAATAAATATTGTCTGTCCTGGATTATATTTACAGTGTTCGGCATATATTCATTATGATAATATATAAATTTCAAACATAATAACTGAGAATATTTCAAAATTAAATAAAGAGAAAAATTGTTGTTAGTAGGGAAATTGTTTTCGAGAATAGAGAAATTCAAATACCTCATTTCTGCAATAACCTCAATGAATGAATTACCAATGGTAAGAAATAGACCAGTTTACAACAAGTGCTAACAGCGCTGTTGGCCCGATGCTGGGCGCTAAATGTTTTATGATCCCAAATGAATTCTTTTAGTATAAGATTAAAGAAAAGAGAATTTTCATAATACCAGATATAGTTATTAAACATAAGAATAAGTACTATCTTACCTGTTTTTTAAAAAAAAAAGTGGCTAGTCAAAGAGAAGGGTTGATTTTGGGGATGCAGCATTGAAGAAATAAGATAATTAAGACTTATGTAGATATTAATATATTAGATTATATGCATTTAGGTGCATACAGAGAAGAGAATAAGTCAGTGTACGTTACTTGTCAGTAAAAATAATGAAAATGTCTAAAGATATTCAAAATGAAAAATTTTGTTAAAGAAAAAAAAAAAGGAAGAAGAATCAGGTTGTACATTTAATTACTGAATTAGTTTATTTTAAATTATTCATAAGTTTACTGATTTAAACATATTTAATTTAATAGATATATTAAGTCAATTTCATATATCTAGGATTTCCAATCATATGACTTACCCCTTCGGGTGCAAAGTCTCTTTTCTACAGCCCTCCTAATAGCATCAGATGGTTGCATATCTTTAAGTGATTTGAGCTAGTGGTAAAGAAGTGCATGTTGAAAATTTGGTCTGATTACAATACTTTCCTTACCCATTACACACAAAAAGGAAAACGTTTTTACATAAATACAATTGTAACGAGTCATTTGGGTCTAAGAAAATATATTCCTTCTTGACACTCGCGGATCCAGGATTTAATTTTGGGATTGGGGGCTTCAGCCAGAAAGCTTTTTTTTTCCAGGTATATAACGATAATTACTATGGGAGAAAAAGAAAGATACCAAGTACATATATGAAATGGTGTTTAAGTGATTCTTGAAGTTCTAGTAAATGTAATTACACAAACAATAATACTTTTAGTAGTATAATACTTTTAGTAGTGAGTGCTGCGCGGGGTACCCCAAGGCGGCCCCTTGTCGTCGTCGCTCTTCAACCTGGCCATTGACCATCTCTATCGCGACCTGTGCGATGAAGAATTTTCCAAAAAATTTGGATACAAGTTAAAAAGTGACCAAGATTGTGTGGTCCTCACAGGTTTCGCGGATGACCAGGCCGTGTCAGCGCGTGACAAGGGGGCTGCAGAAAGAGTGATCGGCAGCGTTCAGAGGACATTTGAGGGAATTGGTTTGGCTATTAATCCTCAAAAAAGCGTGGGCATCGTTCTAAATAAAGGAGAGCTGGAAACCGCGATGCTCTCCCTTGAGAACGGAGAGTACATCCAAACAATGCAGAATGGAGATACAATCAAGTATTTAGGATGTACATTCTCGGGAGAGCTACAGTTCAACGAAGATTCGGTGACCAAATTGAACGAAAACCTGAATAAACTGGTAACCTCTCCCTTGCTGAAGCCGGAGCAGAAGCTAAACATTGTCAACCAATATCTGTTCCCGGGTCTTACTTACCCTCTCCAAACTGCGCCCCTCACAAAGCTGCGTCCTGCCGTACTTGACGGCATCGACACTATGATTCGCAGGAGTGTGAAGGCTATTGTTGGACTCCCTGCGAACACCTCCACGGCGATGTTGTACTCTCCCAGGAGGTATCGAGGATTGGGATTAATCCGCTGCCAATGGGAGGCTCCTCTACAACATTGGTCCATTGCTCAGCGACTGTCCAATGTGCCCGATGCCCTTTTTCAGTCGATCTTTGATTATTCGGCTGAGGTTGATGAATGTGCCGAGAGATTGGGGGTTGATCGGGGTATTCGGAATATGAGAGCTCTACGGCAGTCGCTTCGAGAAAATTCGTTTGAGGAATGGACCAATTGCAGGTGGCAGGGCATTGGAGTTCGCCATTTTAAAGAGACCCCGAAAGCCAATAAATACATGTATGATAAGCAAGTACTTTCTGGGTCTGAATGGTCAAATGCCCTGAAACTAAATATTAATTATGCTCCCCTGCGTGGAGTCCCAGGTGTCAGCGGACAGGTAAGAGAAGTTGGGTCCCTCTGTCGCAAATGCGACAGAGAGCCAGAAACACCAGCACATGTGCTTGGAAAATGCCCCAACAACTCCCTCCTTATAACACGCCGTCACCACAGAGTCAAGCATGAACTGATGAGGCTCCTTGAAGAGAGAGAATACGCCTGTTTCGAGGAAGTATATTGTATAGATACGGATGGATCCACCCGATATGCCGACATTGTAGCATTCTCTAAGACGGGAAAGTCGGCGATGATTTTGGATCCGACCGTGAGATATGAGACCAACGACCTCGATCAGGCAGAAAAAGTGGAAAGGGAGAAAAAACAGATATATGAGAAATGCATCCCTTTCCTTAGTGAAAAGTTCCGCGAGAGTTTCGGGCCGAGAGAATTCCACGTGAGAGGCCTTTGGTTCGGAGCTCGCGGAACGATACCAGACTCAACAAGGAGCTTCATGGAGGGCCTTGGTGTCGACATAAAGGACGTGGCAAGGTTGGCAGAGAGTATAATCCTCGACTCCCTGGGAATCATCCACCACCATGTGCATGGGAGCGGATAGGGGAGAGTTTGCTCGCGAGGGGGAGGCATGCGTGTGTTACAGCATTTTTTATATTATTATTTATTGAACACGTCCACTGTACTTTATGAATTTTTTATGTATTAGGTTAGAAAGAGAGAGGAGAGAATGTGAGTGGGAACATGTATAGGGGGAGAGAAGGAAGAGAAAGGGTACAGAATGATAATAAATGAATGAAAGAAATAGTAAAAATTATAAAAAAAAAAAAAAAAAAAAAAAAAGGAAAAAAAAAATAATATATATATATATACGTATAAAATATTGTATACTATGCTCATACATATTGTTAATCCTATAATTGTATAATAATTTTAAATAATGTCTGTAGTGATTAATAGGTATGCTGTGTTGTTAGCAACCCAATGTAATTGGGCAGCACCATTTTATTTTATTTTATGATAATAAAGTGATTCTCTCTAATTTTTTAATATTTTTTCCATTATAAAATGGTTATATTTAACCATTTTGGGAGGAGAAGAGGTTTCAGCCCGAAAGTTGGAGAATTTCGGGTGAAACCAAAATGGAAAAATATATACATATTACTTGCACTTCCCTATATGTGAATTTCATATTATGAAATATATAGTGAAAATTTTCGAATCTGAGATTTCAACGGAAACACATATTTTGAAGGTCCCCTGAGTCCAAATAACCATGTCCCGCAAAATAGTCTGTGTGTGTGTAAACAGTAGCCCAAAATCGAAAAGTCGAACGAAAGTGAAATTGCATATTTAG